CTGAGCTACAGTTTGGAACTTGGATGTTATGTATAGAGGGGAGGAGGAGAGAAGCTCCACTGGAGTTGTATACGGCCTTTGTTGGGAAAATTTGGCTGGGCTGCTCTTGAAAACTTGTTAAATGTCCCCTGCCAAGATTCTTGTGACCTAACATGGGTGTAGCTTTTTCCCACTGCAGGTGTCCCCTCAATTAATGTTGTTCCTGCAGTTTAGGTGACAGCCCTAGAACGTGAGCAGCTCACCAGAGAGTCATCCTCAGTTGTTTATTCCCCACGTTTTGCTTGTCTCTTGCCAGCAAACACTTCCAGCCCCTCCACAGGCAAAGAAGAAAGATAAAGATATTCCTGTTTTTCCCCAAATGTGTGGCTATTTGTGAGAATTCGCAGGGTCTGTGCAGGTCGTCAGTGCTGCTACTGCTAAGCATGAGGCTGGGGGTCGCTGCAGAGGGAGAGTTAGAAGCTGTGTTTGAATCTCAGATTTCTTTCTTAGTTGTGTCTGTTTGAAGTTCATCCCATGAGGCTGCCCTTGTTTGAATGCTGCTGGTTAAGTTTTTAATTACTTTAATGATTTGTGTTTTTGTGTAAATTGCTAGTTAGTTATTGATGATGAAGGTCTATGGTCCAGTTTCTTTACTTGGAAGTCCCTAAAGTTCTTCCTTTTCCAATTTACATCTTAATCTTTTCCCTTCCAAATGCTCTCCCTGTCCAGCATTTCAATATTATCATCTTTCTTTTGTTTTTTTTTTTTTTTGAGACGGAGTCTCACTCTGTCACCCAGACTGGAGTGCAGTGGTGCTACCTCGGCTCACTGCGAGCTCCGCCTCCCAGGTTCCCGCCATTCTCCTGCCTCAGCCTCCCAAGTAGCTGGGACTACAGGTGCCGCCACTGCGCCTGACTAATTTTTTATATTTTTTTAGTAGAGATGGGGTTCCACCGTGTTAGCCAGGATGGTCTCGATCTCCTGACTTCATGATCCGCCCGCCTTGGCTTCCCAAAGTGCTGGGATTACAGGCGTGAGCCACCGCGCCCGGCCAATATTACCATCTTTCTAGCCCCCCCAAAAGCCCTCTCTTGAGTGTTAACAATGACTTCTTCCTGACAATTTCATTTCTTCTCAGTGCTTATCCTGCCAATCCCATCCTTCCTTCAATATTTTGTTTTGCCTCTACTACCTCCCACTCCTTCCCCATGAACATGATAATTACTCATAAAATACTTGACAGAAATTGCTAGCCCCATGTAATAGTCAAGCCGGTGTTGGTTTATCCAGTAGAATCTACATGTACCTGCTTTCTGTTGAATGCTTTCACCAGGACTAAAAAATAGTTACCAAATTAGCCATGTGCCAAAATCAGTGTTAGTTTTTAAAAATGTGTAGTGCTTAATTTAGTGTTATTAGGTGTTAATCAAAATAAGCTGTATGCGACGGACCTGACTGGCATATAGATTATTAGGAGAGTAGGAAATGAAAAAAATTCTGAAGGAATGTATTTTCTGACTGGAGTGTGGGCTTATAACCATTGCCAAGGGTCCAGATAGAATTTCATCCCCTTCATAGATTCAAAAAATTCTATTGTTTTATCAGTAGATTTTGGGGAGTGGGGGTAGGCTTTGGTTTTAGTTTGTTTTCAGGCCTACTGCAGAGGTGACAAACTGGGGCCCCTCCTATTTGTTGCTAGCTAACTTTGTCAAATGATTCTAGAATCAGCTGTGAAAAATGTCCTCCTTGTTCGAATAGGATCTGTAAGTTGCTTTCACAAAACTGCCAATACGCTGAAGGAAAGAAAGAAGACAGATGAAAGAATCGAAAAGAGGTGGTGCAGGAAGGAATAATCATAAGAGACATTTTTCTTTTTATTTTCTGGTGCTGTAGAAAGTGGAAAAAGCTTCTGTCATAAGTCCACTCTAGAGGTATGTGCCAATTTATGAAAAGAAACAGGAACACTGGCGTTTCGTGGTTAAAGACGGAATCTATGGCAGGAGTCAGAAGGGCCAGTGGGTTAATTCCATGGATAGACGGTACGGAGACTGCTTGGATGAGACCTGCTGTCTTGAATGGGATGAAGCACAGAACAGAAGAATATCGAACGCTGTAGAAAGACATTCCCATAGCCTGTGGGAATGCAGGCCCCATGTCTTAGAGATGCCCAAGACGCCCTGGGCCTGTCACCCCCAGCAGTGCTGGCAGCTCCTGGCTCTGTTGCCTACAGGCCTGAGCTCTGAGGTAGGAAGAGTCAGGTGCTCCAGGATCGCAGCCCACTGGAAGCAGGACAACCATCTTCCTTCAACACGAAGCAGGGTTCCCGGGGCCTCCTGCGCTTACCCTGAACTCAGCACCCAATTCTGGATACCTGTGCTCTGCAGTCCTGTACAGAAGGATCCGATTGTGATTGGAAAATGCAAAAGGGCAGAATTAAGGTTAACTCTGAATTTCCTGCTTCTCATGCAATTACATTCCCCCCGTTGCCATTGAATTAATGTAATTTCCCCCATATAATTGAGCATAAATTACCAGGCAAATATAGGATACATTAGTATGGGCTACAAGGAGATAATGAAGTAAAATTAGTAAAAAGTTATCATTACAAGTCCTTGGATTTTTTTTTTTTTTTTTTTTTTTCCCGAGACGGAGTCTCGCATTGTTGCCTGGGCTGGAGTGCAATGGCGCGATCTCAGCTCACTGCAACCTCCGCCTCCTGGGTTCACACAATTCTCCTGCCTCAGCCTCCCAAGTAGCTGGTATTACAGGTGCACCCACCACACCCAGCTAATTTTTTGTATTTTTAGTAGAGATGGGGTTTCACTACGTTGGCCAGGCTGGTCTCGAACTCCTGACCTCATGGTCTGCTCACCTGGGTCTCCCAAAATGCTGGAATTGCAGGCGTGAGCTGCTGTGCCCGGCCCCTACAAGGACTTGGATTTTTAAGAATCAAAAATCCTATCCACAAGCCAGAGAGAAATTAATCTACAGAGTTATCTATTAAGATATTAAATTTATAAAATAATATATTAGATTGTGATAAATAAATGTCTAAATGTTTTTGCAAAATAATTTTTAAATAATAAGAATGATAACTCTAAGAACCTCAAGCAAAAATACTTCTTTGCGTTCTAAATACTGCTCTTGTCTCCTTTGGTACTTTCTCTGTATATGCAAGTGCAAGGAACGACTTCAGTTGTGAGGCATCCGTCAGTTTGGGGTTGTCCCCCCACTCCCATTTTCTTCGCGTGGTCCATTTTTTTAAACATTAGTTTTATTACTGTTTGTATTGTTAATTCACGTCAAACAGCAATAAACAAAGTCTCAGAAGAACAGACATTGCAAGAAATAAATATTTCATTAATGCTCTTAATAGGGAGACTTTGTCTCTGGAAGAAACAGACTGTGATCACCCGTGAACACGTAGAAACAGGACCGCCAGCTTCACTAGTGTAGCGATATTTCTATGTGATGATAGAGGAAGAACACCTCGTCATACAAATGGGTTGCAGATTTCCATTCCTCTGTAATTCTGTCTGTTCTGTAACACGAAGATCTGTGCTACTGCTTCCATCTCGCAGATAATGGGCGTCATCAGAGTCCTGTGTGGCATCTGTATCTACAGACGTGGTTCTATCGGGAGGCTTCAGTCTGCAGTTAAATGGGTGTCATCAGAGTCTTGTGGAGTCTGTATCTGCAGACGTGGTTCTATCAGGAGGGCCTAGTCTGGAGTGACTCTTGTCTGTCATCTTTGGGCAGACCCATTTTAAAAGATTATTTTCTATTGATTAAAAGAAAAACTTCAAGTATAGATCTTACTTGTTACTCAATATCATCAAGTTCCAAGAAAGTTAAATATTGTTCTTGTTTGTTTCATGTTCTGTATTTATCCAAGGTATATCTTATTAAATTTTCAGATGAGGAAAGGTTGACACTAGGATTACACACTTAGCAAATAAACATACAGAACAGAAAAATCAGTACAATTCAAATTTCAGTTAAATAGCAAATAATTTTTTAATGTAATTATGCCCCCAATTTTACTGGGCATCTCTTCTTATCTGACAGCCCTAGTTAAGAACAAATCAAGATTCCAGAATTAAATGGGCTGGAAAAGGGGTCACAGTACTCACAGTACAAGTTAAATATAAATGAACATTTTCATATTTGAATTTTTTAGGTCTTTATGGTTTTGTGGTTATGTTTTAAGAGTCTTTATCTTTTAGAGATATTTACTAAAACCTTTATTGATGAAATTATGTAATGTTGGGGACTTCCTTCTAAATAACAAAGGAAGAGGGAAAGGGGATAGGGCGGGATGGGCTGGGCATTGGTGGGTATGTGAAGGTTTCGTCTACTTCTGATTGTGCTTGAAATTTTCCATAGTAAAGGAAAATAAAATGTGTGTGTGTGTGTAAGCCATGCCTTTAGGTCTAAAAAGCTTATCATCTAAACATCTGAAATGTCTGGTAACCAAGGACTTGTACAAGGGCGTGAGAAGAGGCTGCAGGTGGGGGCAGGGGCTTGTGAGCCATGCTTGGAGTTGTGGACTTCTTTGTTCCTTGACGGCATATTTATCGTCTCGGTATTTATCTCTACCATTTGGTAGAGCAATGCAAGAGAGTTGCAGTTCGTTCCCAGCCTCTAGGAGTCCAGGCATCTCTAGGGAAGGTTCAGGAATCGCAGGCGATGGGGCAGTAGAGAGGGATAATGCTTCACTTGATGGCCAGCCTTTTGAAAATGGCTAAACACAAAACAGAATAGACTGTTGGATTAGGTCAGAATAACAAACAGTCCACTTTTTAACATGTTCTTGGTTTTCACAAAACAAATCTCTTTCGATGATTCGATTGAAACCCTGGGAAATTAATAAATCGAGTCTCTAGTCTATTAAGTCAGCATGGGTCTCGCTTCTCTAGCAGGTGAGCTGCCCGTAGCTGGGAGTCCTCAGCCCCTGGCATGGTTCCAGGCAGAGTTATTTATTGATGGACATCTTTAATGGTTTGTTTTTTTAATCCCAGGATTTCCTTCAAATGCTACTGGAGAACATCCCAGAAGAAAAAAGGTAAGGACCATTTAGGAATTAAGAGCCCGGTTTTAATGTTGAAAATGACATTGCCACTGCTTGGCTTGTCACAGCCTAGAAAGCTCAGTGTTTCTGTGGAATAGCGGCAGGGACCTCGTTCTGCCAGTGGGAGTACAGGGTCCTCAGCCAGACTTTGGGACGAGCCCCGGTGGATATTGGGAGCCAGTGTGCGCGACCGAAGATCCCCAAAGTCAGGCCCCAGAAGTGGGATGGGAGGCAAGCCAAGCACAGTCTGTGGCCTTCGCTGCTGTGGAGAGAATGGAGGAGAGGAAGGTTCGGAAACTCAGGGTAGCTCCAGTTAATGTGGCTTAATACAGGGAAATACTATGTAATTAAAAGCAACAATGTAGTATAGTAGTAAGAGCTTGGGATATAAACTCAGGCTGTCCTAGATTTTAAACCCAGCTCTGCCACTTCTTTTGTTTTTTGAGATGGAGTATCACTCTGTCACCTAGGATAGAGTGTGGTGGCACGATCTCAGTTCACTGCAAGCTCCGCCTCCCAGGTTCAGGTGATTCTCCTGCCTCAGCCTCCCAAGTAGCTGGGACTACAGGCACCCACCATGCCCGGCTAATTTTTGTATTTTTAGTAGAGTCAGGGTTTCACCATGTTGGCCAGGCTGGTCTTGAACTCCTAACCTCAGGTGATCCGTCCACCTTGGCTTCCCAAAGTGCTGGGATTACCACACCTTGCTAATGTTTGTATTTTTAGTAGAGTTGGGGTTTCGCCATGTTGGCCAGGCTGGTTTCGAACTCCTGGCCTCAAGTGATCCACCTGCCTTGGCCTCCCGAAGTGCTGGGATTGCCACCTCTTAACTATGACATTTGGAGCAAGTCACATAATCCCTCTAAATTTTAGTTTTTTAACCTATCATCTAGCAGGGTTTTCGAAAGGATTAAAGGAGCTAGCATATGTATTTAAAGTAGGTGTTCAATTAATGATTGGTGTAGATACTATAATCATCTGTGTTTCAGGCACTGGATCCAGGATGTAGATCCAGTAATCATTTAACTCTTAGTACAGTTCTGTTCAGCATCGTCATGGTGGTGATTATTATAGGCCAGCAGTGAAGTGAGCACATGCAGGCAGTCATTTAATCCTCAAAACAACACTGTTTGGTCCATGATGTTTTTATCCTGATTATTCCAAAAAGAGGACCAAGATACTGAGCGGCTGAGTAAGCTGCCCAGGATCTCACAGCTGTTTGCGGCAGGCTGGGATTTTAGCCCAAGCAGTCTGGCTCTAGAACCTATCTCTTATCTACTATGTTACAAATGGGGAAACTGAGACTCCAAGATCCCTCAGCAAGCAAAACAGCATAGATGGAATGAGGCCTGTCTGGATCTGGCCGGTGTGTTTTCAGTACACGGCTCAGCACCAGCTCACCGCCCTGGAAGGAAGGAGATTCTCATTTTTGTAGGAATCCAGTTTTAGGCTGGCTGGCCACCAAGAGGGTTTGCAGAAGGGTCTTAGGACCAATGTTTGGGGTTAAATACGTTCATTCCAACCCTCTCCTAATTTCCTATCTTGATTTAGGTGTTAAAAAGTGAATACCCTGAAACATAATTTCTTTTTTCTTTTTTGAAACGGAGTCTCACTCTGTCGCCCAGGCTGGAGTGCAGTGGCGCGATCTCGGCTCACTGCAAGCTCCGCCTCCCAGGTTCACACCATTCTTCTGCCTCAGCCTCCCAAGTAACTGGGACTATAGGCGCCCACCAACATGCCCGGCTAATTTTTTGTATTTTTAGTAGAGACAGGGTTTCACCGTGTTAACCAGGATGGTCTCAATCTCCTGACCTCGTGATCTGCCCGCCTTAGCCTCCCAAAGTGTTGGGATTACAGGCATGAGCCACTGCGCCCGGCCAACATAATTTCTAATAGCAAAATTGGTATTCAAACATTAAACGGAGGCATCTTGAGAAATTAAACATTTCTTTGAAGAAGAGTTAACATTGCTTGCCTCATTTCTGACCCACAGTTTTAACTACGTTTTTATGCATGGAACAGATTTCCAAGTGTGGAAATGAATTCTTTGACACGGACATAGACTTAGATTCATACAAGGCCAGTGACCTCCATGTCCGTGAGCCTGTCTTATAGGCGGTGTGAATTGGGTGTCTCCAGGGTGCAGCGTCAGGGCTTATGCTACCAGACTGGGTGCCGGAGATGACGTGCAGATTCAGGAGAGGATTCGGGGCTCACGAGGAGATGACGTGCAGATTCAGGAGAGGATCTGGGGCTCATGAGGAGATGATGTGCAGATTCAGGAGAGGATCCGGGGCTCATGAGGAGATGACGTGCAGATTCAGGAGAGGATCCGGGGCTCATGAGGAGATGACGTGCAGATTCAGGAGAGGATTCAGGGCTCTTGAGGATGTGGAAGTTTTGTTCCAAGCATTGGATTTTTGCTTGGCTTTTTCTGTGTAAACTTCTCTTTCACCTTCCATTCAGAATGGCTGCAAATTCTTTCTTCAATAGTGGAAGTATTATTGTTAGTCAGGATTTTCAATACTTAATAGGGGTCTGTATTTGTGGTGCATGTGGTATTTTGGTGCATGCATACCACGTGGAATGACCAGACCAGGGCAGCTGGGACATCAGTCACCCCAGACATCCACCCCTTTTTTACGTTGGGAACATTTCACTTCCTCTCTTCCAGCAGTTTTGAACAATGCAGCAAAGTCTTATTAGCTTTAAACACCCGACTGTACTATCAAACACTAGATCTTGCTTCACCAACTGTGTTTTTCTGCCCACACACACACATAAAGCAAGCCGGTGCATCATATAGGATTAACATACCCATATTTGATAAATTTCTTTGTTTCTACCTTTTCATGTTCATGCCTTCTGATACTGAAGAAATCTTATCCGGGAGATAGTGTGGGGCCGTAGAAATTGGCCAAGATTTCTAAGGCCCCACGCAGTCTCTCTGGATAAAACTTTGTCTAAGTGTTTCAGGAGGCTGCTCAAAGGAAATGTGGCTTGTTTTGGGAGGTCTGAAATGTTTTCAGATTTACTGTCTTGGAAAAAAGGAAAAAAACCAGACATATGGGATTTCTTCATGCAAAAATCCCATCACATGTGGCTGTTAAGATCAAGAAGATAGTTTCCCTGCAGGGCGTATTTTTTCCTTTTCCTCGTACCTACCCCAGAATAACTTTTCAGGTCCTCTGACAGAATGAAGCATTTTCCTTAGGAACTAACTGCAGAGAAAACAAGAAAATTAATAGAAATGGTTACTACTTTCTTATGCTGTTACCGAAGTCTGTTTCTGAGTGGTGACTATGTATTCTTTCAAAAGAACTTCTTAGGGCATAAATATAACAATTTTCACTGAAGCAACAAAGTGCATTTTTGGTATTGGAGGCCTTCTCTCTTTTAATCCTCTTCCTAATAAGGTTATGGAGTTCATCTGGATGCCCCTAAGCCCTCTGGCTCTGGGGGAACCTGGACTGTATCATTGTGAATATTTATGGAGGCTGCACACGGAGCCCACAAAGAGACTTTTGTTGTTGTAATTGTGGAACTTAAGAGCAGTGTCCCTGTCTTAATGGCAGCCCCCAGTCACCAATCACACACCTTTTGATAGGACACCTCTCCCGGTTAGGATCATGTTTTTCCAGCAGGCTTAAGCCTCTTTTTAAAACAATCTCCTTAAAAGCTAAGGAGATTTCTCTTTTACAACGAATCGATTTCAGCAGGTATACCAGAATATATTTTGAAATTAAAAATCTTTTTGCCTGCTAACTAATCTCAGAATCTAGTTCAGCTATTAAAACAGACTGTTTACCCTATTAGTTATGCGACATATTGTACCAATTTTATCTAGGTCTCCAAAGGCCCCACACCTACCCCCCGGAGCCTCTAATCTTTGGCCTCTGTTGCAAACTGATCCTTGGGTACATCTGTTAGGCACGTGAGCCGTTCTGCTGAGGCAGGGTTTTTCAGATTAGACCAGTCCGTCAATGTTCAGGGGCCAGCACTCTCCAGGCCTTAGTGCCTTTGCATTGTTCCCTTGCTTTGGTTTACTCCACATTCTCTATTGAGCATCTCCCATACCAGGCTTTGGGCCGGACACGGGGGAACGGAGAGGAGTAAATCCCAGGAGTAGCCCTAGGAGGCTCCTAGCCGACTACCGAAGACGAAACAGAAACAAGTCGTTATGACTCCGTGTAGGAAGTGCTCTGCTGAGGTTCAGAGTCCTGGGGACATATAGAGGGTCTCAACAGTCCCAGCTTTGAGCCTTCAGGCACCTGTACCTCTAACGGGTTTAAGGAAGGCAGCACCGTCACAGATTGGAAAGACATCTGCCAAGGGCAGAGTGGCAGAGACAGGGGTGGACAGGACTGGAAAAGGGCAGAGTGGCAGAGAGATGGGGGTGGACGGACGGACGGACGGGAAGCCAGGACATGGGGGTGGACAGGACTGGAAGCCAGGACAGCGATTAGAAACCAATAGAGGGCCGGGCGCGGTGGCTCAAGCCTGTAATCCCAGCACTTTGGGAGGCCGAGACGGGCGGATCACGAGGTCAGGAGATCGAGACCATCCTGGCTAACACGGTGAAACCCCGTCTCTACTAAAAGTACAAAAAAAAAAAAAAAAAAACTAGCCAGGCGAGGTGGCAGCGCCTGTAGTCCCAGCTACTCGGGAGGCTGAGGTTGGAGAATGGCGTAAACCCAGGAGGCGGAGCTTGTAGTGAGCCGAGTTCGCGCCACTGCACCCCAGCCTGGGTGACAGAGCAAAGACTCCGTCTCAAAAAAAAAAAAAAAAAAAAAAAAAAAGAAACCAATAGAGCAGTTCAGTCAAGAGACCTGGAGGGCTGGAGCTGTGGCGGGGCGGTGACGGCGGTGGCTGGAGCTGTGGCGGGGCGGTGACGGCGGTGGCTGGAGCTGTGGCGGGGCGGTGACGGCGGTGGCTGGAGCTGTGGCGGGACGGTGATGGTGGTGGTGGGTTTGAGAGTAATGAATGGCCAAGGC